AAAAAAAAAAAAAAGACGCCACCGTCTCCCGCACGGCCGCACCGTGGCCCCGCATGCTGCCGGCACTGGCCGCTGTCGCCACCCTTCGCCCCGGCCGCCCCGATGGGTGTGCAGTGTGGTCCCCAAGGTCTGCGCCCCGCTGGCCGTGCGGCTCTCTCCAGGGCGACGCCCCCTCACGCCCTCGCTGGGTGGCTGTGTCTTACCGTTGGGTGTCCGGATTTCTTCCCTTTGTGGGACGTGTGGTTGGAAAATTCTCTCCCGTCTGCAGGTTGCCTTTTCGTTTCCTTCACGGAGGCGGCTGGAGGACAAATGTTTTTAATTTTCAGGAATTCCAAGTAATCCAATTTCCCTTTTACGGATTGCGCTTTGGGTATCTGATCTCAGAGCAATTTCCTTGCTCGCTCGAGATCCCAGGATCTTCTCCTGTTTGTGTTTCTGGAAGTTTTAGCCTTCTATGTTTACGTGGAAGTCTGTGAGCTATGTCGAGCTAATTTTTGTAGAAGGTGTGAGACTCGGGTCGAAGTGTTTTTGGCCCACGGAAGCCAGAGACCGAATCTCCCAGCACCTCCCTCCCTCAGCCAACAGTTGGTGTGCTTTTGTGTATGTATCCCAGTGTTTATCGGGGCCGGGGGTCCACCCAGCTGGGCCCCAGCCACGCCCTGACCGCTTCCGTGCCTCGCGGGGTCCAAGTCAGCCCCCAGAGGAGCAGAGAGGACCGGGGCCACCGGGGACAGAGAGGCCACCACGGCCCCTGCACCTGGGGGCGGGGGGCGGTGTGGGGCTCCGTCTGCGTGGCCACAGTCCCCAGGCCACGGAGGGTGGGGGTGACCACACAAGCCCGGACCCCTTCCCGGCAGTGGATGCCGTACGGAGCCCCTGGCACCGCCCTGGGGGCCGCAAGGGGGCAGGAACAATCGCCCAGCTTGTTGTCTCAGGCACACAAAAGTACGCTTTCACGAGCCCACAAGCCCGGGTCTGTGCCCGCCTGGTGCCAGAGGGATCGGGCCCAGGGCCCAGCTGGGGAAGATGCTTCGGGGGCCTCGGCCCCGCGGCAGGCAGCAGGGCCCAGCCTCTGAGGAGGGGCCCGAGTGCCGGGCAGCTCAGGTGGTGGTCGACCCTAGCCTTGGAGATGGGCACAGGGCTCGGCCCCACACCCAGCCGGGCCTCGGTTCGAGTTTCCCGCGGCCGCTGTGACAAAACGCCAGACCTGGAGGCTCAAAGCCCGTGCCTTCCTTCGGTGGCTGTGTGGCCCCAGGCCCAGGCCAGGAAGCAGTCTCAGCGGACGGAGGGAGGATGCTGCTCGGTGCGGCCTTGCAGACGGGGGCGGAGGAGGGCTGGCGGCTACACAGCCACGAGCAGCGGCCGCCGTCCCCGGCCTCCAGCTGCTCATCTGCCCCACGGGGTCTCAGGGTTCTTCGCGCCCCTCTGCCTGCGGTGGTCAGGACACGCCCCGTGCCACGGCGCCCCTGACGCCGGTCACGGCTCCAGCCACCAGCGGGACCCAGCGGCCAGAGCCCTGACCTCGGGGCTGCGCGCTGGGCAGTGACACCCTACGTCCCCACGAGTGGGAGTCACATTTCTACGGAAGGTGACGAGGTCCTGACAGGCTCACTCCCTCGGGCCACTCGCGGGGGGAGCCCAGGCGTCCCCGGGAGTGTTCCTGCACTAGGATCGAGGCTTCCCTGCACATGGGGCGTGGGGGGCAGCCCCAGGGAGGCAGACCCAGCCCCCCCCCCCGGCCTCCTCCTCTCGGGGGACCCAGGCCAGAACCGCCCAGCTAGGCCGCTCCCCGAGGCCCCCAATGTCTGGGGCTGCCAAACTTGGGGAATTCATTCTGCAGCAGGAGGGAAGAGAGAAGCTCTGGGACCCAATGCCCACCCTCTGAGGGGGGTCCCTCAACATGCACCTCCGCCCTGCCCAGGGTCCTTCCCCCTGTCTCCCTCGCTGCCTCCCCCCAAACCCAGTCCCCCAGGCCAGGTTGCTGCCAGCGTGGGGCCCCCAGGCCGCCTCCCTTGGGGACACTCTGACATCAAATCAGGGCCTTCACGTGCCGAGCCACAGGACGAAGAGGCATTCTAACGGATTTAGGAAGATAAGAGTTATTTATAGACCTACGGCTCACAGGGTCAGATGTGTGACTTTAACAGAATCAATCGTGGAGAACATTGGGGCCCTGCTGACATAGATAAACAGAGGTCCGGGGACGTGGATGAAGGTCACAGATATCCGGCCGATTCCCACAGGTCGGTTCCGAGCAGCGGGAGCCAGGGCCCAGGAGGAGGCCGTCCCCAGGTCCGCACCAGACCCACAGCCGTGCACACGTCGGCACTGTACACGGAGCATGCCGGGCAGACCGGCAGCCACAGCAACACGCGGCCGGTGGGCGCCCCACGCGTGCACCCTGAGCCGCGCTGCACGTGTAAATGCACGCCGGGGCCCAAGACCGCATCCCCAGAGGAGCACAGAATCTCCCAGGAGCCTTTTCTGATATTGAGAAGATGCTCAAATGGCAATACTTTGAGTACACACGAGGCCCCTGGTCGTCAGACTCACGGACACGGGAGGACACGCACTGGGACGCATTCCTGCGAGGTCCCGGGGTCGTCACACTCAAGGACACGGGAGGACACACACTGGGACCCACTCCCACGAGGCCCCGGGGTCGTCAGACTCGCGGACACGGGAGGACGCGCACTGGGACCCACTCCCACGAGGCCCCGGGGTCGTCACACTCAAGGACACGGGAGGACACGCACTGGGACCCACTCCCACGAGGTCCCGGGGTCGTCAGACTCACGGACACGGGAGGACGCGCACTGGGACCCACTCCCACGAGGTCCCTAGGTCGTCAGTCTCACGGACACGGGAGGACCCACTCACTCGAGGTCCTGGGGTTGTCAGACTCGCGGACACGGGAGGACACGCACTGGGACCCACTCACTCGAGGCCCCGGGGTCGTCAGACTCACACACACGGAGGAGACAGTGGGGCCGGGGCTGGGGGAGCAGGTGGGGTCTGTGTGTAACAGGACCGAGTCTCAGGGTGGGGACATGGAACGTTCCGGAGCCGGACGGTGGGGAGGGCTGCACAGCAGCGTGAATGTGCTCAGTGGCCCTGTATTTTTTAAAACGGTTAAGATGGCAAAGCTCACGTTATGTATATTTTTGCACAATAAAAACAAAAGAAAAACCCTCCTCTGTTAAAGATTTCAGACCAAAGCCCAACGTGGGAAGAGGTACTTCGTGGCACATTTAATACACATGCAGCGTTGAAACTTCACGGTACGCATGGCGGCTCAGGCATCACAGAACATCCACGGGCAAAGGCAGGGCTGGCCGGGGTCGCCTCACAGTGGCGGCCTCCCAGACTTGCGTAGGAAGGGCAAAATTGGGCTAACTGCACGACCTCGTTCTCATGTCTGTCACCAGGGGCCACCGTGGCTCTCTGTCCTGCCCCCGGGCCTCTCTAGCTCCAGCTGACGCGGACCGAAAACACATTGAAGTGGGGTTTCAATCGATCGTCGACCTGGGCCGGTGTGGGGCCTGTTTGGTTTTTATCTTTCCTGCTCCGGGAGGATGGAGGTTCAGAAAGCACCTGTCTCCCGGGGCAAGGGCTCGTGTCCAGTGGGGCACCGCCGGACAAGTGAGAAGGAGCCCCTGGCCGTCACAACCGTACCCAGGGCGTGTCTGGAAAACCCCTCCTCCCCCTCAGAAGGTCCCCAAGGAGCTGCTCTTCAAAGAAGCGAATATCATGCGGCCCCCAGCCTGACTCTGAGAGAACCGTGCTCCCTGGGTCGTGGAAATCGTCCAACTCCTGATGTCTCCTTCCTGTCCCGGCTGTCCGGCCCAGCGAGGGTGACCGTCTGGCACGCTGGCCATCCCGAGGGGCGAGTCTCTGGAAAGGTGGGGACGCACACTTGACCACATCTCTCCTCTAGGGGCTCCCGCGAGCCTGGGCCCCGGGGTGGGGGGGGCTAGCCTGCGGCCAGATGAGGCCCCCTCCTGTCTGAGGCAGGGGCTGCTTTCGGTCACTCTCCTGCCTGCCGTCTCCGACAGGAGCCCCTGGAAACAGAGGATCCCCGTGGGACACCCCCTTTCACGTCACTGCACCCCACTCAGACTGCAGCCCTGGTGGCCTGGCCCCTGGGGCACAGGGGCGGGCGCATGTCCCGACCCGGCCAGCCCAGCACCCCCCTCCCGCCCCGGGCTGGCCCGGACTCACAGCTGACTCCTGCGCCCCCAAGACTCGGGGAGGAGTGAGGCTGGGTCCCACAAGCGGCAGAGGGGAAGGCCTGGGGGGTCTTGAGGGCCGTTTGTTTTTGAAACGCATGAGGTGACCGTTTTTTTCCAAACAGGAGTCCGGAGGAAGGGGCGGCCCCGTGGAGTTGGGGTGCCCGCCCCCACGGCCCGCGGACACGGGAACAGGCCAGCACACGGAAGCAGGGAGGTGGGGCCGCGGGGCTCAGACGGTGAGGGAGATGAAGCTGTTGTAGCGCTGGATGTTCCTCTTGAGGATCTCGGAGCAGGGGCCCAGCACGCGCTCGAAGCGGGGCCGGTCCAGCTTGACGCACTTGAGGGGCCCCCGGGCCACCACGGTGGCCGCCCGGGGCCGGTTCAGCAGCAGCGCAATCTCCCCTGCGGGGGAGCGGGCGGTCAGGGGCCGGGTCCCCAGGGCTTCTCCAGACGGCTGGCCCCCCACTGGCCCCCAACACGCGCATGTGCACGCACGCGAGGGCACACACACGCGCGCGTGCGCACACACACACACACACACACACACTGACACGTCACCCTTGGAGCACAGCTGGGCACCGTCCTGCCTCCCCGCAGGGACTTGGGTCACTCGGGGCTCCAGGTCACGCCCTCCCTGGGGACAGCCATGTCCGTTGAGGGGGTCCCGGCCTGCCCCCCACGGGCGCCCCCGCAGCTCTCCACCTCAGGGCCCTTCCGGGGCTCCCCTATGAGAGGGCGGGGAACCCACACTCACCAAAGTAGTCGGAGGGCCCCAGGCGCCCCACCTCCACGTACTCTTCGTTGGGGGACCGGCGCTGGAGGACGGAGGCCGTGCCCTGCAGACGCCAAGGGACAGGTGAGGGTCAGCAGTTGGGGGGGTCACAGGCGAGGGGGCATGCCCAACCCCCGCTCCAGCTCCCGTCCGCCTGCTCCCCGTCTAAACCGAAGTCAGGCGTTTCCTCCTGTGAGGTCAGAGGCCACCGCAGGCCGGGCAGTGGGGAGAATCTTTGGGGGCACCCCGGGCTGACCTCGGGCTAGCTCCCAAGGACTGGCACTCCAGTGGGATGGGCGTGGACTAAGGTCATGCCCCCAGGGAGCAGCGGGGGCCCCTCCCGAGGGGGGGTGGGGGGTCTGCAGAGGCTCAATGATTAACACGGAGCCCACGGAGCCGCCTCACACGCGGGGAGCCGCAGACGGGCTCTGACCCCAGGCCCCCTCACCTGCCAAGCGCCTCAGGCCAGTCCCCTGTCTGGGGAGCCCCCCCGACTCTACACCTGTGAGGATCAGAAGTGAGGCTTTGTAAACTGCCCGGAGCATCCAGCCGGCGCTCAGCCCTGCTTGGTGGATGTGCATAAACAGCATCACTCCTGCAGCTGAGCCCCGTGGCCGGGCTGAACGGCCTCCGGAATAACCGAGCCTCTGGACAGGCTGCCGACGGGGCTGAGGCCCGGGGTGGACGAGGGCCCCTGTACCCTCTGCTGCCCCGGGGCACCCGGGCCCTCAGCCTGTCAGGCGCGTCCGTGGCCCCATGCCCTGGCAGCACCGACAGACGTGATCCTGATCCAAGGGGGGGGGGGGGGGCTCGGTTACCGAGGCTCAGGAGTGCGCCCGGCCAGGCCGGCTCCCGCCTCACCGCAGGCTGGGGGAGACGCTGTGAGAAGACCCTGCTGGTGCCGCCGTGCCTGGAATCTCCGGGCACCGATCGGCAGCCACCGCCGGCAGCTGGATCCCCGCGCTCACCCCTGCACCGGCCATGGGGCCGCTCGGCTCATGGGCGTCTGGCGTGTTTATGAAGCCAGCTGATGGATGGAGCCAGACGTCTAAACAGCAGACCGATGCCGCCACTGCCCGGGAGGCGAGGGTGGCAGGGCCTGGAGCACACGTGCTCCCTGCCCAACCCCAGAAGGCACAGAGTCCTGGGCTGGGAGCAAGGCTGAGGGGACTCACGGGCTCCGACATCGTCAGGGAGGCACAGGGAAGGTCACCCCGGCACCGCGTGCGGGCCCTCCGTGCCCTGGGCTGCTGAGACGGGCGTGATTTTTCTCAGAGCCCCGCTGTGCCCACCTAATTCTTTGACATTTATGTCCTATAACTACGGTGTACGTGACCTACACGCCTTTCATTCCCATTTACGTAATTTCCATTTTACAACTGGGATTGTTTTCCTCTTTCAAAACCCCAGCAGTGGAACTGGATGTGTCCCGTGTGTAGAATCAGTGACACTCCAGCCCGAGAGCGTCCGTTCAGATGCAAAGCCAGCTGCAGGGGCCTGAGGGCTCCTGGAGTATCTGTGAGGCAGTGGAACCGGAAGATGGGCAGCCGATTCAGTGGCCCAGACAGGTGTCAGGGCCCGGGGCTCACCCCTGCGTCCTGCTCTGGAGACCTCAGGCCCTCACGGTGGCACAGGAGCTGCCGCGGTTCGGGGAGTCGCCAAGTGTCTCCCCTTGCTATCGGCAGGCATAGAACCCACTGCTTCCTCCTGCAGCTTCTCTCCTCAGCAGGAAAACCTTCCAGAAGCTCCCAGCAACCTTCCCTCACACCGCATTGGCCCAAACAGGTCGCACGCTCACAGAGGCCCGGCCAAGAGGACGGGCAGCAGTGGGAGGGGCTGAGGATCAGGTGGTATTCCCAGGAAGGAGTAGGGATGGGTCTGGGTGGGCCAGCACCGGTCGGGGGACCACCATCCACCGAGAGACCGGCAGCACTTCCTTCCCGGGGGCGCACAGAGCAATGGCCACGTGAGACGAGGCAGGCCACGACCGTGGACGCTGGGGGGCACGTGCACACGGGTATGTCACCGTCCCAGCCAGACGGAAGCAAGGTCGTCACACATGAAGCAGGGAGAGCCCACGGCAAACACACGGCAGGGGAGCACCACTGTCGCCGGCCGCAGCCCCCGCCTGCTCTGTGGGTAGATGCGACCACGTCCTCACGGATGGACAGATAGACAGATGGACAAGGGCGTGTGCTGCCCCCCGCGGCTGTGACATCGACCACGGGCGCCAAGGCGAGGGGGCCCCAGGGCCACGTGGAGCCACCTCCCGGCCCAGAACGTGCTCACGAGAACACGCTTCCTTGCGCTCTCGGGCGTGTGGTTTTGGGGTCTCCTGACCTGGCGGTGCCGGCAGACGCCGTGGGTGCAGACCCTGCGCCCGCGGGGCCGCGGTTCCCACGACTCGCTGCCCAGGCTGCCGACGGGGCTGCACAGACACCCCCGAGGGACCGCCAGCCGGAATGTTCCGGGCCGGAGAAACACTTGCCAGAAGGCTAAACCGTACTCGTCAAATTCCTCTCTCAGTGACTCTAGGCCCGGCGCGAAAATAATTGGGTCTCGCCGAACGCGGCCTGGGAGGGCCCAGGAGAAAAGCGTTAGCACCGGCGGCAGGGGCGGGATTCCTAGATGACTCCCTCCTTCGGCGCCGTTTCAGTTTTAAAAACCGACGAGATTTCCGTGGCTCAGGTTTTCTCCAGTGGGCGGGTGCGATGCCCACAGCAAGGGGAACCTGTCAGGGTGGCACGCGGGGGGGCACTTGGGGGCGGCTTCTCCTCCAGGACCCCAGCCGCACACCCTTTTACTCATTCGTTCGGGGGCTCAGTGCCTGCAGAGTGACTCCCTGGACCCCTGGACCCACCACCCCGGGCGGACGACAGGCTCGTGCGGGACCCGCGTCCGTCAGACCCTGTACGCGCCCCTGAATAACTGAGCGCCGCCAGGCAGGGGCTGGAAAGCCGTGAGAGACGCACCAGCCCCACCTGAAGCCAGAGCCGGCCGACCTCAGCTCCGCAGAGCGCCGGCCACAGCCGCGGGGGGGCCCCCCACTTCCCAGCCTCAGCCTCCTCTTCCACAGAATGGGTACAGGACCGTTCAGCCTCCCGGAGCAGGGGCCCGACTGTCTGCACTTCAGAAGTAGCTCCATCCCCGTCAGATGGGACAGGTGGCCATGAGGGCAGTGGGCGCTTGAATAAGCGGAACAGAAAACACCCGTGGCCGCGGCGTTCACGAGACGTTCCCGCCCGTTCCTGCCTGATGCCCGGGGACCCCTGTGGACGCACCGCCGTCCGTGTTTGTGTGCTTATGCACAGGCAGCGTGCTGCACGTCTGCACGCGCATGGGAGTAACTGAGCCCGCGGGTGAGAGCACCTCGCAGACAGCCCCAGGCTCCCCCTGCATCGGCGAGTGGGCGCCCGTCGAGCTCCTCTCTGTTCCTCCCGAGGGGCCGGGCCGACTCTGCCAGAGCCCCGGTCCCCCCTCCCTGTGGCACGGCGGAGAGCCACGGGGCAAGGGCATCACACCCCGCGGCCGCCCACACCCTGGCCGGGTTCGCGCTCGGGTCCAAAGGTCACCCGTGAGGCCGGGGCCCCAGAGCGTGAAGCGCCACAAGCCCTGGCTGCTGGCGGTCCTTCCTCCAAACCCACAGTCTGTCTCATGCCCCCCAAGTCAGGAGACGTCTGTCAGGAGCAGGGGGAAGCGGCCGGTGACCGATGCTCCAGCGGGCACACACGATGTCCGGGCTGCACACAGGCGGCCGCACCAAACGTGTCCTGGAGCATGACGGGAGGGGCCTGTGGGTCCCAGCCCACGGCTCCCTTCCCCCCGGGCTCTGCCCCCAACGTCCGGCCGGTTCCTCCCTGCCACCCGCAGCCTCAGGGGCACCGGGGAGTGGGTCCGAGGCTTCCTGGCCACACACGCCCTGCTTCGAGTGAGGGCAGGAGAGAGGGACCACCACCCAGGGCTCCTTCCAGGCTGGGAGGGGGGGCGGGCAGCCCGCTGCAGTCCACTCTGGGGTCCAAAGGTTCTGGTGCTCAGCCGAGCCCAACGGCCACCAGCCCCGTCCCCAGGAACCACCGTCTGCAGACTCTCTGTGCTGGCTGGCGGCCTCCACCCAGGGCACCGGAGCCACGGGTAGGCTCCTGTCCCAACGCCTCCCCGGGGGGTGGGCGACCCAACCCAGACCACACAGGGCACCGTGGCCAGCAACTACGCTCCAGCCCTGCGCCCGAGGTGAAGGCCTGAGCAAGAAACAGAGTCTAGACGTGCAGACCTTGGGGCGGGGGGCACGTTTTCTGTCTGGGAGAAACATCCCCCAGACTCTCACCACGTCTCTGACGCCGATAACAGAAGCCAGGAAGAACCCGTCAAGGAGAAGGCACTTAGGGACGCACACGAGACGCCATGGGGACGGCGGCGAAGGGGGGGGATGGTGGGTGGGGAGGAGGCAATGTTTTCCTAAAGACGTTTCTGCGTCACCAGACTTGTTCCAGGAAGTGACACTTCGGTGGCACGATTTTGTTAATGTTTTGTTTTTCTAAGGCTCCCATCGAGGTCTAGCCTCGGCTTCCAGCAAGCTGACTTGTGTGGGATCCAGAATGTTCTGGGGCAGACAGTGCCAAGGCCCCGAGCCACACGACAGTGCACTTAATCCACGGCGGCACGGAAGGTGACGTACGTGCCCTCACGTCCGTGTGCCGAGGCCGATCAGAGCCGAGGGCCTGGCCTGCCAGGTCCTGCCTGAGGGGTCGGCCAGGTGTGCAGGCAGGTGAGCTGGCGAGGGGGTCGTCGGGCCCCTGACGAGGAAGGAGACATCACAGCGGCCCGCACGGGACGGGGCCTGGGAGGCCCCCCTGGCGTCGGAGGGAGGCCGTCCAGGCACCGAGCGGGCACCGGTGTGGGTGGAAGCAAACTCCTTTCGCCCGGCAACCGCGCCCCCGGGCCACACAAAAACCTGCGGCTGGGTGTTCAGGGCGGCTACGCCCACAGCAAGCATGCTGCCCCTAAGCAGGCGAGCGGCTTCGCGGGGTCAGGTCCAGACGAGGGGCCGCGATTCTGCGCCACAAA